AGATAGATAGATAGATAGATAGATAGATAGATAGATAGATAGATAGATAGATAGATAGATAGATAGATAGATAGATAGATAGATAGATAGATAGTAGATAGATAGATAGATAGATAGATAGATAGATAGATAGATAGATAGATAGATAGATAGATAGATAGATAGATACTAGATAGATAGATAGATAGATAGATAGATAGATAGATAGATAGATAGATAGATAGATAGATAGATAGATAGATAGATAGATAGATAGATAGATAGATAGATAGATAGATAGATAGATAGATAGATAGATAGATAGATAGATAGATAGATAGATAGATAGATAGATAGATAGATAGATAGATAGATAGATAGATAGATAGATAGATAGATAGATAGATAGATAGATAGATAGATAGATAGATAGATAGATAGATAGATAGATAGATAGATAGATAGATAGATAGATAGATAGATAGATAGATAGATAGATAGATAGATAGATAGATAGATAGATAGATAGATAGATAGATAGATAGATAGATAGATAGATAGATAGATAGATAGATAGATAGATAGATAGATAGATAGATAGATAGATAGATAGATAGATAGATAGATAGATAGATAGATAGATAGATAGATAGATAGATAGATAGATAGATAGATAGATAGATAGATAGATAGATAGATAGATAGATCGATAGATAGATAGATAGATAGATAGATAGATAGATAGATAGATAGATAGATAGATAGATAGATAGCTAGATAGATAGATAGATAGATAGATAGATAGATAGATAGATAGATAGATAGATAGATAGATAGATAGATAGATAGATAGATAGATAGATAGATAGATAGATAGATAGATAGATAGATAGATAGATAGATAGATTAGATAGATAGATAGATAGATAGATAGATAGATAGATAGATAGATAGATAGATAGATAGATAGATAGATAGATAGATAGATAGATAGATAGATAGATAGATAGATAGATAGATAGATAGATAGATAGATAGATAGATAGATAGATAGATAGATAGATAGATAGATAGATAGATAGATAGATAGATAGATAGATAGATAGATAGATAGATAGATATTTAGATAGATATCACTCTACGGAATTTTTTCCCGATAGATCCATATTTGGTCATAGCTCCCATATAAGGTCCACATTCGAAAATCAATTTAATGACCTTAATTCATAGATAATTAAAGCTATCTGGATAAAATCCGACATGAATGTGTTTCATATATGTATATGAATTACTCTAAGAAATTTTTTGGATCGGTCTATAATAGGTCATAGCTCCCATATAAGGTCCACAACCGTAAATCACTTAAATGCACACAATTCATCACTATCTGTTTAAAATTCGACATGAATGTGTTTTGTGTATATATGAATGACTCTACGAAATTTTTTGGTTTAAAGGAGTTCAGACAGTTACTTCTTCATTGTTTCCAACAAATTATTTAATTTTTTATTTTTTTAAACTCCCTTTTTATACCCACCATCAAAAAATATTGATTTTGCCATTGCGTTTGTAACACATCGAAATATTGATCATAGACCCACAAAAGTATATATATTCTGGGTCCTTATTAAATTCTAAGACGACATTCGACATGAATGTGTTTTGTGTATATATGAATGACTCTACGAAATTTTTTTATTTTATTACTCCCATATAAGGTCCACATACGAAAATCACTTAAATGCGCATAATTCATTGTTAAATAAAGCTATTAGGGTAAAACTAGACGTGAATATATTCTGTATGTACATAAATCATTCAGTGAATTTTTTCCCGGATCAGTTCACAATTGGTTCTAGCTCATATATAAAGTTCACTTCCAAAAATCACTTAAACGTACATATTTCATTAATTAAAATTTGTTATGTTCCATTTGCTGTGTATTTATAAATCATTCAGCGAAAATTTTCTACATCGGTCCATAATAGGTTATGGGAGCTATAAGGTCCACTTCTAAAATTACTTATAAGCACAAATTCATTGACAATCAAAGTTATCGGAATAAAATTCGACATAAATGTGTTTTTTGTGTATATAAATCATTATACGGATTTTTTTCAGTATCGGTTCATAATTAGCTCCCATATAATGTTCACTTCTGAAAATCACTTAATACTATATAATTTATTATTAAATTATTATAGACAGATTAAACTCGACATGAGTATGTTCTAACCCATTATTGCGTTAGTTCTACGAAATTTTTTTGTATCGGCAGGATCGGCACAGAAGGGAAATAAAGTATTTTAGTACTAAAGTTCATACTTAAGTAAAATTTCGTTCCTTAGTATAAACTAAAAATTCGGCCCTAAAACTTTAACAATTTATAAAATATATTGGGTTTAAATAAAAATTAGCTTGCAGGTGAATGGTATTTAAGATTCGGCATAGCCAAATATATCATTCTAACTTTATTCATTTTATTTATACTTTAACATTTACACATTTTTAATAATTTTAGGTCGTATACAATTGCGTCGTTTGATACGCATACCGATGGAAGTGCATATACGTCACGTAGAACCAAGGAACTATTTAAGTATTTTAAATGAAATGAAGGATAAAGAGATACACAATTTAATTATTGATACAAATTACGAAAATATTCAAGTTTTATTAAAAGGTGTAAGTATAAAAAACTTTAATTTTAGATATTTGGGCAACTTCGTGTCAAGTGACCCAACTCAAAAAATTGATTTGGATAAAACTTTCACCACGGTTAGTACTATTGAATAACTTAACTCCCTTTTAATATCCACCATCAAAAAATATTGATTTTGCCAATCCGTTTGTAACACATCGAAATATTGATCATAGACCCACAAAAGTATATGTATTCTGGGTCCTTATTAAATTCTAAGACGATCTAGCCATGTCTGCCCGTCTGTCTGTCTGTTGAAAGCACGATAGAGTCCGTTCGGAAAGAGCTAGAGAGTTGAAACTTTCCACAAATATTTCCTATGAGTAAGTCCCCATACAAATAGCCCCCCGAAAAACAGCTTTAACAGTCGTTAATGTTTTAAAAATGCGGGTATAGCGATGACTTTAACGATTATTACTGGCTTAAAAATACAAGTAAGTTTCTTACGAGCAAAAACCTATTTACCACATTTTAGGAGGACCAGTCCATAATTTACCCTACCCCCACTACTGGCTGGAAAATACGAGTATAGCGCTGAAATTCGACAAAAGTAAGTTTCTTACGAGCACAAATCTCTCTTTCGAATTTCATGAGAATCGGTCAATAATTGGCCCTTCCACCTATATAAGGCCCCCTTCAGAATATGAAAGAAAATGGCTTTAACACACATTACTGTCTTAAAAACAGAGTAAGTAATTTTTATTTATTTCTCTAGTTGCTCATTTTCACGAGAATTATTTTTAAACTCGCGAGAAGTATTTTTATTTCAACTCTTAATTTTTTATTTTCACTTCATGAGCGATATCTATGTATTTTGATTTTTTAATTCAGCTCACGAGAGATATCAAAATGAATAGAAGCAGGGTTGTCAGATTTTTTTTACCTTCATCGCCAAAAGCTAAACGCAAAATCGCCAAAAATCGCCAAAATAAAATATTATTTATTTATTTATTCCAAAATAAAAATCGTTTAAAAAATCATTTATATTTATTTATTTCATGTATTATAAAGTCAATATAAATCTAATAAAAGTCTATAATAAAATATTATATTTTTTATACCCTCCACCACCATCAGTGGTGATAGAGGGTATATATAACTTTGTCATTCCGTGTGTAACACCAAGAAATATTCATCTGAGACCCAACAAAGTATATATATTCTTGGACCTTATGAAATTCTGAGTCGATTTAGCTATGTCCGTCTGTCCGTCCGTCCGTCTGTCTGTCTGTATAAAACATTCTCACGTTAACACGAAGCAATAAAAATTAACGAAATTCACCCAAAATATTTATTATTGTCCTAGGCAGTTTGGTATTGAAAATGAGCAAAATCGGTTTACACCGGGAAAAGTTATGAATCAAAATTTAAAACAACCTCGAAAAAAATAAGCATTTTTTACACATTCTGATGTAATTTTCTCGAAAACTATGAAAGATAATTCCATGAAAATCAGCACACATTCTACACAAGAGCTTGACTCCTGCTGAAAATTGCCAGAATCGGTCCACAATTTCATATACCTCCCATACAAAAGTACATATTCCCGGAAAATGGGATTTTTGTTAATAACTTCCGTCACAATGTCGAAATCTTTACAAAATTTTACAAATTAAAATCTTATGTCAATAGAATTCATTCAGAGAAAAAATTCTCTGGATCGGTCCATAATTGGACATAGCTCCCATAACTTATTACAAAATTAAGATATCCATATAAAATTTGGTACATGTATTACTCTCACATACAGAAATATTACTGTGAAATTTTTTTCCGATCAGTCCATAATTGGTCATAGCTCCCATACAAGGTCCCTTCCCGAAAATCACTTAAACGCGCATAACTCATTACTAAATTAGGATATCTATATAAAATTTGGTACAAATATTCCTCATATGCACAGAAATATTACTGTAAATTTTTTTTCCTATCGGTCCCATGCAAGGTTCCCTCCCGAAAATCACATAAACGCACATAACTCATTACAAAATATTGATATCCATACATTTAGCACAAATATTGCTCTTATATACATAAATTACACTATAAAATTGTTTTACGATCGGTCCATACTTGGTCATAGCTCTCATACTAGGCCCCTTCCAGAAAATTACTTAATTGTACAATATTCATTACCAAATAATGATATAGATTTGAAATTTTGTTTTTATATACACAATTGGTCATAGCTCCCATACAAGGTCCTTTTTCGAAAATCTCTTAAATACACATTACTCATTACCAAATAAAGCTATTGATACAAAAATTATATTTCAAGATTTTTGCACGATCGGTTCATAACACACATTACTTATTACTAAATTACGATATAGATACAAAATTTTACTGAAATATAGCTTCCATGTCCAGAAGTTTTGCTTAAAGAATTTTTTACGATCGGTCTATTATTGGTCATATCTCCCATACGAGGTCCTGCCCCTAAAACCGTATTTAACTAGTTGCATTATCAATTTGTGTAGAACAAAATTATATATATGTATTTTGAAAATTCTTAAATCTTTCACATACATGCATACATGCAAATTAATAAAAATCGCCAAGCGTTTGTAATGTTCAATAAATCTTGGAATTGTAATAGATTTGAGCTGTTTGAATCTAGGGATTTTTCTATTTAAGATATGAGAAAACTTATTTCTACAAATATTTGATCAATTAGAAAAGTATTAATATAAAAGTAGCTGGTGGAGGGTAATTAAGATTCGGCTCAGCCGAATATAGCACTCTAACTTGTTTTTACTTTACATTTGTACTTTTAGTGCATTAGTTATTTATATTAAATTTATATCGAAATATTTTTTACAAAAATTAATTGCATAAATCTATAATATCATATACCTCATTCTCTGCAGATTCATTTTCACTGCTTGGTGTATCATACATTGTATTAGAATTAAACTTTTTTAACATTTTATTTGTAGGCTGAAATGAATTGCAACAATATTTATTAACATTCATATAACTTATTATTCTTATCAATGAATCTAAAAGTTCATATTGAATTTTATTACGTAAGCGAGCTTTAGTGTAATTCATAATAGAAAATACCCTTTCTACGCAAGCGTTGCTGGTTGGTAAAATTAACATGTTTAGAACGGCCAATGCTAAATCTTTAAAGTGAAATGTTCCAGCCGCATCGCAATAATTGTAAACTTGTGGCCAAAAGTCTAATAAATTTTTTGGGATTTCACCTTTAAAGACCTCAGTCCAATTGATATATGCTAATTTTGACCATTGCAATTCATATTCCCCTGCAGATATTTTTGGATTTAAAAATAAAGTTAACGAATTTTGAACTTCCGAAAATTTTACTTGTTTTAAAGGGTTTCCACATTTTAATATTGAAAATTCTTTATATGTTTTAAAAATATTTATATTTTCAGGTAACTGTTTTAGCATTTCTTTTAATAGTTTTTTTAAGTACAAAAAACTATTTTCTTTTAAAATGTCTGCATCATATTCATTCATTTTTATATTTTTTAATTCCATTTCAAATTCTGTGCCAAAATCCATAGATTCCAATGGCAGAAAAGAATCAGGCGAATCAATAGCCAAATTTAATGAACATATTAAGTTATCCAAATTTCCATTATTTTTTAAAATTGACGGCTTAAACATTTTAGAAGAAAAAATTAATATTGTTGAAACTATTTCATCATACATGCTACCTGCATCCATATGATCAGATTGAAATTCTAAATTTAAATGATTCATTTTATTAACTATTGGGTTAATAAATATCAAAAAAAGTCTATTTTTTCGTCAGATAATTCTTTATAAATATGTTGAGCAGTCTTGTCATTTTCAGCAGTTGAGATTAAAGAAAAGTGGTATTTTAACTCCACCCACTGCTCCAAAACTCTTCTGATGGCGGCCCCATAAGACAGCCAACGAGTCCCCGATATTTGTACAAGTTTTCTAAAATTATTTGAATCAACTCCAATGTTAACCAAATCAAAAGCTCTTTTGTATAGTAAAGTACGAAGTGGGCTGTGGCTAAAATAGTTGTAAATTTCTTTAAGTAAAAAGTCTGCATTTTTGGGAATTTCACTTGAGGCTTTGGAGCAGCATAAATGGAGGGAGTGGCAGGTACATTTTAAAAGTAATAATTGTGGATTTTCTTGTTTTAAAAGGATAAATAACGATTTATTTTTACCAAATAGATTACTGGCCCCGTCAGTTCCAAGAGTTATTAAGTTTTTTATATTTAAACCCACTTTGTTTAAAAACAGTTTCATACCTTCAAAAAGATGTGTTGCAGTAGCTTCTTCTACCTGGAAAATGCCCAAAAAATGGGTAACAATTTTAAGTCTTTTATGATCAAAAAATCTTACACAAATGCTCATCCATTTAGTTTGGGATATATCGGTAGATTCATCTACCACCAAACTGTAAAAATTATCACCAATATCTTTCACCAAATCCTCTAAAATTGACGGAGAAACGACATTTTTGATAATAGCAGTACACTTAGTTTTGTGCAGCCTTAATTTTTCAAATGCACTTTCTTTTGTTGAGCAGTTTCGTAGCAAGGTTGTAAGGTGGTCAACAGAAACAATTGAGCTATGTTTTGCAATAAAAACGGCTAGTTTAATGTCAATAATTTTAGACTCATTTGATTGCGGCTGTATTACTAAAAGTATATAAAAATACATTAAAATTTATTTTATATATTTGTTTAAAATGAACTTACTAAAATTTTCAATTTTGTTTTGCTTAAACAGCACCGCCATATTAGAAATGTGTTTATTACTTTCTGAATGCTTTTTTAGATCGATCTTATGGGATCTTAGAACTATTTTGCATCCAAAACACCACGATGTATATTGGTCGTTAGATGTTGATTGGTACGACAAAGGGGCATCTGCAATAGATTTTAGCCAACCTACAAATTTAAGTCATTAAAAGGTTTAAAATATTACATTTGTGTACTTACCTTTGGCCCAAATTTCATTTTCCCACTCCTTTCGATGTCGACGATCTACTTTATTTTTTTTTGAAGAAGATGCCATTATAACATTTACGTTTTTTAAATAATGCTTTAATAGTATTTCTTTAATTTTTTACTTCTCCTAAATGTTTTCTTTTGAAGTCTTAATTTTTCTATTTACCGTTAACTAATTTGACACTTGTTTGCCATCAATACTGCACATTTAAAGAGGTGTCGCACATCACATTTTTCAATATCAATTTTGACGGAAAAGTACTCTTAACAACAACAATCAGCTTGTTGTTTTTGTATTGTTTTACAAGTGTACGAAATGTCAAAGATATTGTTATAACCCATAAATATGAACTGATTTACTTGTTGTCATTAATTGTGTCATTCACTATGTAATAATAACATAATATATGAGGGATACCAGAGATGTATAATGTTATGTTATTAAATTTAAGTGTTAAAAAAGGTATTTCAAAAAAATAAAAGTAATTTGTTAAAAAATAGCCAACTAGTCTGTAAATCGCCAAAAACTCGCCACGTCGCCAATTGAAAATTTTGGTCGCCAAAGGCAATGAAAAATCGCCACGTTTGGCGAGAAATCGCCACATCTGACAGCCCTGAATAGAAGTTGAGAAAACTCACATACAAAAAACGTGTGCGCAAAACCGGTTTTACGGCGGTGTAAAAAACAACAATTTTTGAAAAAAATGTGCATGTGTGTGTGGTCGTAAAAAAACTAAAAAAAGATGAGCGTGTGTGTGTGCATGCACAATCCCTTCAAACATTTAGAAGGCAAAACTATTGCGCATCACCCCAGACGCCACGTCAGAAACACTTCTGGACGATTGTCAGACGAGAACGCACATTTTACAAAAACAAAATACATTGATTTCTAGTTTTCGCCGTCCGGATGATAGTAAGAAGAGTACAAAAAGAAAAAAATATAAATACTCCATTTTTTAGCGTGAACACGAAAAAAAAATAAATAATGCAGAAATTTTGCTAAGTTCAGTGATGTTTTGTCCAGTCATGTTCAGTTTTAATTATTCATTGTAAAACTTAAATGAGTTATTGAATAATATTCATAATATTCATAGAAAAATAGTGTAATTAATATATTGTGAATCTTAAGTAATAAAAAACAATATGACAATGTTGTGTTAAAAGTCAACTGTTAATAAACATTTAAGATGGTTTTGTTAATTGGTGAAGTTTATTAAATATGTATATACCAAAAAGTAATTATCGTCAAGGATTATATAAATAAAATTAAAAAGTAAGTAGTCATATTTTATATTAAAATACTATTTTAGTTGTTAGCTTAACAACTCTAAACGGCCTCCATTTCCATTATTTTTAAACGAAGTCTAATATGTTTAATTAAAAATGATTTTTATTTAGAAAATGTTCATGAAAGGTAATGTTTTTATTGATTCAAAACAATAAATAAATTAATTAATTAATTTTTAATTATTTTACTTTTTAGAAAGCAGTAGCTAATATTCTATCCTATTAAAATACTTCTAGCCGAATTAAAATATAAAAAAGGGATCTGGTAAGTTATATATGTCCTATTTTATCACGCGGTTCCATTAAAAATGTCGATTATTTGCAGAAAATGTAAAAAATTGATCTGAACATATGTACATTAGACCGACTCACTCTGTATGGAAAGCAAAAACGTGTTTTTGTTACCCCTCTCAAAATTTACCTTGCTTTGTTTTATAATGATTCCCAAAATATGTTAAATCTAGTGATGACCGTTCGTGAGCTGGACCAAATTAAAAAAAGGTATTTTGGAATTTTTTTTTTTAATTTTTGTTTGTTTTGAAACAAAATATCCAATACAGGGTATTGTTTAAATGGTATTTTAAAGCAGCGTCCAATGATGTATTAATCATAAATAACCGTCTGCTTATAATTGTCATATTCCAAAATATTTGAAATTGTTAGGTTTTTCACTAAGAAAAATAAAATGTATGCACAATTTTGCAAATTAGACTTGGCTTCAAAAAACCTTTCAAATGATACCACATACTGTATATATTGTTTAAGAAATGCTGCATAATTTAAAAAAAAAATAAATAAAAAGGGACTTTTTTGTAACCGGTTCAGCTCACGAACGGCCATCGATAGACTAGAAATATTTTGGGAACCATTATAAAACATAACAAAAATTTTTTGAAGCTGAGTAAAATATTGAATTTTTTCTTTAAAACTGTCCAGCTCACGAATGGACAACACTTAACCGAAAATATTTTGGGTAACATCATATTACATAACAGCGAATATTTTGAGGTGGGTAACTCAAGCACCACTTTTGTGAGTCAGTCTAATGTACATATATTACTTTTTTAGATTAGTTGTTAAATCTATTATTTTTTCTACTATTTTAATTTCGATTATTTCAATAAAAACTATAAAATTTCATTTTATTTAGATTTATTTTTATAGATTTTATTTTGGTGAGTATACAAATAGAAGAAGAGAAAACTCATCTTCTAGAAGGCGAGAATACTCATCTTCTAGAAGATAATACTCTTCTTCCAGAAGAAGAGAATACTCATCTTCTAGAAGAAGAGAATACTCATCTTCTAGAAGAAGAGAATACTCATCTTCTAGAAGAAGAGAAAACTCATCTTCTAGAAGATAAGATAGGAACACTTCTAGATGATACTAAGTAGTCACTTCAAGAAGTGACTTCCTAGTTACATCTAAAAGAGTCTTTGGCAATACCTTACTTCCAAAAGTCATCTAGAAGTTTCTTCTGCGGGTCTTCCACAAGTATCTTCCACGTTACTCTTAGACGTTCCCCAGCTCGGCATCAGTTCTTCCCGACTGGTAACAAGAATTCTTATACTTCCGCAACATCGCTGTCGAGCTTTTAGCACGTTTGGAAGTTACCCGTATGAAACGAGCTGGGGAACGTCTAAGAGTAACGTGGAAGAAGAGTATTCTCTTCTTCTAGAAGATGAGTATTCTCGTCTTCTAGGAGATGAGTTTTCTCTTCTTCTATTTGTATACTCACCAAAATAAAATATATAAAAATAAATCTAAATAAAATGAAATTTTATAGTTTTTATTGAAATAATTGAAATTAAAATAGTAGAAAAAATAATAGATTTAACAACTAATCTAAAAAAAAGTAATATATGTACCTTAGACCGACTTGCAAAAAATGGTGCTTGAGTTATCTACCTCAAAATATTCGCTGTTATGTAATATGATGTTACCCAAAATATTTTCGGTTAAGTGTTGTCCATTCGTGAGCTGGACAGTTTTAAAGAAAAAATTCAATATTTTACCCAGCTTCAAAAAATCTTTGTTATGTTTTATAATGGTTCCCAAAATATTTCTGGTCTATCGATGGCCGTTCGTGAGCTGAACCGGTTACAAAAAAGTCCCTTTTTAGTTATTTTTTTTTAAATTATTTCTGAAACAATATATACAGTATGTGGTATCATTTGAAAGGTTTTTTGAAGCCAAGTCTAATTTGCAAAATTGTGCATACATTTTATTTTTCTTAGTGAAAAACCTAACAATTTTAAATATTTTGGGATATGACAATTATGAGCAGACGGTTATTTATGATTAATACATCATTGGACGCTGCTTTAAAATACCTTTTAAACGATACACCGTATTGGATATTTTGTTTCAAAACAAACAAAAATTTAAAAAAAAATAATTCCAAAATACCTTTTTTTTAATTTGGTCCAGCTCACGAACGGTCATCGTTAGACTTCAAATATTTTGGGAATCATCATAAAACAAAGCGAGGTAAATTTTGAGAGGGGTAACAAAAACACGTTTTTGCTTTCCATACAGAGTGAGTCGGTCTAATGTACATTAGGGTGGGTCGAAAAAAAAAGTTGAGTCAGTCACCCCCTACGATTAAAGATATGTTAATAACATTTCCAAAAATATAAAAAATATTTTCTTTGCCACGCCTAGAAATACCGCCCTTTTTGTTTTTTATATATAACGTCGCCATTTTAAGTCCGATCGTAACATATAATATATCAATATTTATGGCTTGACTGTAGCTATATTTCACTCTTAGACAATTTTTTAATTCGACGTCATATTCTATGCGCGACTTCTGATGGCTATACTAGAATAAAGTATATTTAATTATATGAGTTATTAGCTTCTTAAATGCTCACTTTTATGCATAAGCAGCTATTTTACAGGTATTTAAAAATACCTGTATAGTTCTAACTACAAACAATTAATATGGTCAAAACTATTTTTTCAAATTTATATACAATATAAAAATTTCATTCTGCCGCCTATCTTAACACAAGAAAGATAATTTTATTCAGCATTTAATTTTATTAATTAATAACAAAACAAGTGAGAAATTACAGTAGGGCGAGGCCGACCATATGATACCCTACACCAATTGCGAATAATAAATGTAATTAATTTCAATAATGAAGCATTTATGTTAATCTTATATAGGTTCCAAATAATGTCTGTTCATGTACGGTTGTATGCTGACTAGGAGAAATAAAAGACCGATTTCAATTATTTTCAACAGCCTTCGTCATTGGATCCAGAGAATAGTATGTGACAAATTTTAACAAATTATATTCAAAATTGTGATCTGTTGCGTGCACACAAGGTTTACACGGTCACAATGACTGACATAGTTTAATATGGACAAATATTTTTGAGTGTTACAAACGTAGTTAAAAGATAAAAGGCCGTAATCGGAGGGTCCGGATGTATGGGGGCTAGGGCAGAAATTGAGCCTATCCTTATAAAATGTATTATTAGGAATTATCTATATACTTATGTAAAAATGAATGTGTGTTTGTATATTTGTATGTTTGCATGTTTATATGTTTGTGTGTTTATATGTTTTTTTCAAATTTTCACAGCGTATTCCTCTATATCTGGTAATAGGCTACTTTTTATTTCCGAGCATGGCGAAAAATTACAGTGTTATTTATAATTATATCAAACTTAGTTGTGCCAATTTTTGGGGAGATAGTAAGTAGTATATTTGTCGTAGTTATGACCTAAAAGGCTTAAATCGGTAGGTCCGGTTGTATGGGGGCTAGGGCAAAACTTGGGCCGATCACTATAAAATTTAATGTTCGGAATTATGTCTATACAAAACTCATGTTTGCCAAATTTCATCG